GTAATTTTCCGTGGAACAGCAACGGTGTTATTGCAAGAGTAAAACCGCAGTTATTTTTGCTTACTCTTTCGTCTAAATGATTCCATTATGCGTTGTACGTTTTACTATTTAGGAGCCGGGATAGCGCAGTCAGTATAGCGACTGGCTACGGGCTGGACGTGAGGAGCCGGGATAGCGCAGTCGGTATAGCGACTGGCTACGGGCTGGACGTGAGGAGCCGGGATAGCGCAGTCAGTATAGCGACTGGCTACGGGCTGGACGTGAGGAGCCGGGATAGCGCAGTCAGTATAGCGACTGGCTACGGGCTGGACGTGAGGAGCCGGGATAGCGCAGTCAGTATAGCGACTGGCTACGGGCTGGACGTGAGGAGCCGGGATAGCGCAGTCAGTATAGCGACTGGCTACGGGCTGGACGTGAGGAGCCGGGATAGCGCAGTCAGTATAGCGACTGGCTACGGGCTGGACGTGAGGAGCCGGGATAGCGCAGTCAGTATAGCGACTGGCTACGGGCTGGACGTGAGGAGCCGGGATAGCGCAGTCAGTATAGCGACTGGCTACGGGCTGGACGTGAGGAGCCGGGATAGCGTAGTCGGTATAGCGACTGGCTACGGGCTGGACGTGAGGAGCCGGGATAGCGCAGTCAGTATAGCGACTGGCTACGGGCTGGACGTGAGGAGCCGGGATAGCGTAGTCCGTATAGCGACTGGCTACGGGCTGGACGACTGAGGAGTCGGAGTTCGAGTCTCTGTATGGTCAAAAATCTTCTCTTCTCCACTTCGTCCATACCGGCTCTGGGGTTCACCCAACCTTCTATCAAATAGGTACCGTAGGCGCCTTCCCCGGGAGTAAAGCGGCCGGGGCGTGAAACTGACCACTCACCACCAACTAGTGCCGAGGTCAAGAAAGGTGGACCTATACGTATATCCACTCCCCCATACGCCTTCATGGCGTGGAGATTAATTAGTTAAGCACAGGGACAACTTGTAGTATTTATGTTTAGCAAGAAACGACTTTGTTTGGAAGTAGATAACCTGCAATATAAATGATTCCTGAAGAAAGCAGTCTTCATAGTCACCACCGTGAGAACCTCAAATCTTACAGATACGCTTCCTCGTTAACATTTCCATTTCTTGACCTACGCGAACCGATCTCTAGTTCAATTGCGTTGTCGTATTTTGACGTGTAGCCCTGCATAACTTTGACATTCCTGAATATACTACTGCAAATGACCTTCTTTTATATGCTTATTATCGGCACTTAAGGCGAAAATGTTGACCGACTGCGAAGAGCTTTCATTCGTCAAGTGCTTACGCTATTTGTCTCTGTCCGGGCTTTTCCGTGCTGACAGTTACGACAGCAAAAGTCGTTAGAGAGGTGATGGCCGGAAAGTGAGGATGAATGCATGTTACCTGTCACAATACAAGAGCTATGTGTCTGAAATACCAGAGTTCAAAACTCGCAGACCTAGCAGGAATAAACATCGAGCCATCGATACATAAATATGCATACAATCGATTATTCTGCACTGAAATGTCTGGGGAATCAAAATGCAGCCGGCCTACTGAAGAAATTATAATATTTTCTTCTTAAATTCGATTTGCTCTAAAATCGGAGCACACCTGCACGGAGGCAGTCAAATTCTTATTGTCCGAAGCGAGAAATTTTATTTTGAAATTTGCCAATTCATTATTAATTTATATAGATTTACTGTCAGTCGTTGCGAGCTAGGATAGCTCAGCCGGTATAGAGACTGGCTACGGGCTGGACGGTCGAGGGGTCGGAGTTCGAGTCCCGGTAGAGTCAAGAATTTTCTCTTCTCCAAATCGTGCAGACCGGCTCTGGGGTCTACCAAACCTCCTATCCAGTGGGTACTGCGAGCTATTTCTCGCAGGGGTAAAGTGCCCGAGGCGTGAAGCTGACCACTCACCTCCATGTAAGGTAGAGGTCAAGGAGGTCGGAGCTATATTTCCACTCCCCATATGTTTTCATGGCAGAGTCTTTGCATAGTTAAGCACATGGACAACTCTAGCTTACTCCCAATTATCATTTTGGCTGTTACGGACCCTCAGTAGTCGAATCCAAAACCAGAAATAAGTTCGCACAACCCAATTTGCACATGTTCTCTGCCTAAGCATCGAGATACGAAAGTGTATTTTGTAGTGGGAGAAGGCCTTCGCATGTTACAGACCTTGGCCTAAATAAAGATAAGTTGTCAGCAGTATTCTGCAGCCATTTTCCCTAGGATCCACTGCATACAAGACACGGAACTTTTCTGGATATAGCGTCGAAGAAAATGCTGCTTCAAGGGGATGCTGGATCAAAGTCCTTAAGGTTTTAGCGAGTTATTTTAGCGACTGGCTTATTCATCTCATTTCAGATGGTATATATTCGCAAAAATGTGGAAATGAACGGAACATCTCCCGTTTTGGAGAAGATCTTCATTATAATCATTCATTCTTGAGGAGCTGCCAATTCTGCAGCTACTCAAGAACTTCCCTGCATTTTATGGAACCAGAAGTTTCATTACCATGTTCACAAGAGCCCTCCACTGGTCCATATCTTGAGCCAGATCAATCCTTTTCACACCATCCCATTCTATCTCTCTAAGACCCATTTTAATATTGTCCACCCACCTACACCTTGGTCTTTCCAGTGGTTTGTTTCCTTCTGGCTTTCCAACCGATATCCTATATGCATTCCTCTTGTCCCCATTCATGTTACATGTCCTGCCCATCTCATCCTCCTTGATTTGAACACTCTAGTTATATTTGTCGAAGAATACAAGTTATGAAGCTCCTCATTAGGCAGTTTTCTACAACCTCCTGTCATTTCATCCCTCTTCGGTCCAAATATTCTCCTCAACATCCCGTTCTCAAACACCCTCAGTCTATGTTCCTCCCTTTAGTTTCACGCCCATACAGAACATATCTTTATTATATTCTCAGCATCAGTATGAAATACTGTTAACGTAAAGCATTGCTGTATGCAATGATGTGGCACCTGATAAGCGTTTGCATGTAAACAGTATCCTGAATTCTAAATGAGCACACGCAATTCTCACTGCCCCTGTGACATGTGTGAGTGCTAATTTAGAATAGGCTACGCAGTGCAACAGGATGCTCCAGGGCCTAAGGCGTATGAGATGCTTACTTATAAGCATATAGGGTATATGTGAATGTGTATATGCATGTATTGACGGTGCATAATTCAGCAAAACTTTACACTACGCACAAGTAACATAGGTAAATGTCATACACCGAAGGTCAAAAGGGAATTCATGGATCTTCTCTGGGCATGCGCCAGGCCAGTGTCTCAGCCCAGAGATCAACTTTCTGGAGATTTTTGCTGATTTTCAGACCTTCCAGACAATCACCAGGGCAGCATCACAAACCTGCTTCTCCTTTCCAAAATCATCTTACTTCATCATTCAAATCCTACTACCGTTCGCTGCTACCTATGATACAAGCCGGAAGGTCGCGCTTTCGAGTCCCAATGAGGTGGATTCTTTTTCCAATTTACATAATATTTCCAACCGCACTACGGCTCTGGGGTCGACTCAGCCTCTAACAAAATAAGTACCAGGAATCTTCCTGGGCGGTAAAGGGCGGCCGGCGTGTAAGTCTGGTAACCTTACCGCCATCTGTGAGCCGATTGTCGAGAAGATATGGAATCCTCAACCTCTCACAACCCTATGGGCCTCCACGCCTGTTACAGGAATACTTTTATTGTATTAAATGCTACATATTCTAACTGTACGGAGAAGAGTACTTGTTGAAAACCTAACAGTTGCTCAGATACCCAAGAAATTAGCCGCCTTTTATAGAAGGCGAATGTGCATTGCCATAGACACAAGAACCCATCAGCAGTAGCTGTCATGTAGGTCCTAAAGGGTTCGGACGATGGTGTATAACACTAAGATTTTCTTTTAACTTTCCCATCGTTCGGTATTCTAGAGATTAGAAAACACGACATTTCGAAAAACTGGGTCTGTTTCCGTCCGTAGGTGAAGGGGAAGGCACCTACTCTGTTGTGTTTCTTATAACTCATCTGAGGAAGGAAACAGACCAATTTAAGGTTTGAGTTTTTCAAGAAGGTGACTAAGAAGAATGCCATCTACTGGGATGTGACGCCGTGTAGATATTATGTAAACCGACGTTTCGGAGGACGGTATCACCTCCATCTTCAGGGTATAAAATTCCGCGAGGGAGGAACCAGCACTAGCAGGTGAAGAAACGGGCGATACGTTCCTCCAAAAACGTCGGTTTACACAATATCTACACTGCATCACATTCCAGAAATCGGCATTCTTCGGAAACAAATCCAGTTTCCGAAACGTCGTGTTTTCTAGTTTCTAGAATACCAGACGATGGAAAAAGTCCAAATCCTCAGCAATTCTGAGTAGCTATCATGGCTGTTCATGGCTGGCGGGGGTGTACAAGACAAGCAAGTTATGAAACTTTACACACAGTTATACAAAATTGCGCCGCTGAAAAAGCATCTGTGCAATACATGTAATACGAAGAGGAGGTAGCAAAACTTTCTAGCTCAGATACAACAGAGAAACTCAGAATTTCAGGGGGGTTTTATTTTCCAATCGTCCGGAATTCTAGAGAATAGAAAACACGACGTTTCAGAAACTTACCGTCCCCAGATGAAAAGGGGAAGATATTTACTCAGGTTTCTTAGAAAAAGTTAACTGGTTCAGTGATTGAGATTAGCTCTTCCTAATGGTTCCAACACAGTAGGTGTCTTCTCCGGCCTTCATCTGAGGACGGAAACAGATACAATTTCCGAAACGTCGTCTTTTCTATTCTGTAGAATACCGGGCGATGGGCAAAATCCAAATGCCCAGTAATTTTGTGTTATACACCAACGTGAGAACCCTTCAGAACCTAACGCAGATAGTGTTGTGCCTAACTGCAGTGCCATTTGTGGCGCCCTGTGTGATAATAAAATACTTTACGAGTTTGATGTGAGTTATTTGTATCCTTTTATTTGCAGTGTACACATCCGAGTGCATGTGCCACATCTTATCAACGAAGTGCATCACCAGAAGAAAATTATTCACGTAGAGCACGCCCATCACGACGATCACCACGGCCATTACGATCCTCATAGCTTCGACGACTTCGGAGGAAGTGATTTTGGAGGAAACGACTTTGGAGGAAACGACTTTGGAGGATACGGACACCACGGGTACCCGTGAAGCAGCAATCGAGCATGAGACTTTCGAATCATATTTATCAAAACATATCACTGAAATGTCCGAGTTGTAGACGATCTTCGAGTTACAAGACCACAGGGAGCATGGAAAGAACAATTGAGGCCCTGTCTTCCGTCCCAAATTCTCTTTAAGAGGTGTCTCTGAACGTCACGTAGGTTTTGTTGCTCGGTGAAAGCAGTCTGCCTAACTGGCACGGGACATATTAATGGTCACCTGTGTTACATGATTATAGACATTTGTCTTCGTTGCTGAAATAGACCTCCCACTCTTTTATTTTTCATTCTGCGTTTCATTCGATTTTACTGCCATCAGCTGCATTAGCGTCCAACTCGAGAACGCTTTTCATTCCAGCTTTAAGTCCAAAGGTAGGAGTAGACATTTCGAACAGTTCAATATGGGGACCTTACTGTATATTAGCGTCGATATACGAGGGAAATATAAGTATATTAATATGGCGAAGCTTATGATCGTAGCACTCACAATCGTAATTACGTATAACTAAAATAAAGCGGCTCATGTAAGGAGGGTTTGTGATCATGATGAGCCAAATTCATGTCACTGAATTCTGACGTCCGTAATGGAACTTCGGTACGTTTCTATGATCACTATACTCGTACATGAAGACTACCATTTTATGTTTTTTCTGTGATGTCCCAGGAAGGACTGAGTTGCTGAGTGTTCGTTTCTCTAAATTGAACAATGAAACCATGGGAAACCTTTCAATTTACACAGGAAAATTAGTAGGAAAGCTACTACTCCTGTCCAGAATCTCAAAAGAATAATTACTGTGTAAAGTTCAGCACAGACATGCTAAAATAAAAAGCAGTAAACAGATTTATAAAACACATTATGAGTACATGTACTAATGAAGGGCTGAAATTTCGTAAGGTAAAGACAGGTAAAGCTGTCTCGGTGTTTAACTAATTAAGCACTATGCCATGAAGACATATGGGGTGAGTGGATATATATATTCAGGTGTCACTGACCTTGGCACTAGTTGGAGGTCAGCTTCATGCTCCACTCGCTTTACCCCTGGTACCTAAAGGATAAGAGACTAGCTTTCGTAACTAATACTTGCCTTATATTATGACTTTTTTTTATCTTAACGAAAAGACAAGACCTTCAAAATGTGGATAGCGTGCCTATTGCTTTTAGGGAGAAAAGCACGTCTCAATTTAGAGCCCTATTTTCTCTTTGCTCCAAAGCTGGCTCATCTCATGAGATGCTTATGGGAACTGATGAAACGAACATGCGCTAGGAGTCGAGAAGATCTGAGAAAAAAACACTCACGGTGCTTTGATGTTAGTGTTCCAGTATTCTCTTCGGACAAGCTACACCTAGATTTACCCATATGTCTTCATATCATAGTCATAGCTACTTAATGACATGGACAATTTCACCCTATCTGTAAATGTGCTTCGCAGATTTAGTACTGATACATCTCGAAAGTAACGAGGACTCAAATAAATATGAAATATGATCAATATTTATTTTCGTAATCGCGCTTAGAACGAAAAACTTCACATAAAGAAGAACGACTTTAATTTGAAGAATCCTGCAATGTTTAAAAAGGAAAAATCCCGGATCATGAGTCAATTTCGTAAGTGATATATTCGTGAAGATATTTTCGTCAGACACACTTAGAAATGCGTCTAAAATAATATCTGACTCAGGAGCGTATGCATGGGCCGGTTTAAATCAAAATACTTGAGCAGTCAATAATATTACATATGAAAAATAGCGCCACGAGAAAACTCTGTTGAAATGACATGTCATTACGGAAATTATGGGTATCTTCTACACGTCTAGCATGGAAATCAGTAGCATTTTCAAGCGTTGCTAACAAATGACTGGTCATCTGATTGCATCGAACTACATGGACTTAGGATGTTGCAGCGAGATCAATAGAAAATGCATTGGGTAGGAGAAACTTTATCTCATCCTTAATATGAAGCTCATATTGGGAACAAAATCGCAAATGCAATTTGTTTCAAAATAAATGACACATCCTGTATAGAAAGCATCTCAGGCGCAGTTTCTCGCTACTACAGATCGTCTGAATAGGCAATTATTCTACAGTAACTCGCATAGGAAATATCTGCAAACAAATGTATCAATTTCAGCATTACCAGACTTGCCCACATTCTACTGAATACTGATTTCCTGCTGGAAGTCCAAGGAAAGCTATACTCCTCTTTCCGATTTCAATTTCTTAATATTCCAATCCTTCCCGTGTTCCACGGATTGTTTGTGAGGACTGAGGTGCTTAAGTTTCAAAAGGATTGGACACACTTCGAAGCCGACAGCTTCCCTAGGAACGGATAGCTGATTATTACGTTCCAATTTATCTACGTACGGGGAAATTTCTAAGAAGAACATTCAAATATGAGGTTCGAAACTTCGTTAATTAGTGCTCACAACAAATAATTATCCCTTAATCGAAGGCTAGGCTAAAAGATCACAACAGATGCCACATATTTCAAAGTGAAGTTCAAATAAAACATATAATAAACAGTTAATCTTAAGCGGCGACCATTTTCCTTTTCGATCTGACTGCAAGAATGTCTGTAAAGATTATTTGTACATGTCTCGAAGCCTGAAACACAGCCTTATGAAGCTAGTTAACTTGAGAGACGCGGTCATGATGAGTACACAGGACACTACCGAGCTACAGCAATCGGCCCTCTTACATTTCAGTGTTGTGTTACAGACACGCAATTGCATTATCCTCAATAAAAAGACATCCCACCTTCGTAGAAATTGATGACAGTTCAAGTCTCAACAAGCACAAAGCATATGAAAAATATTTTCCATGGTGCCAATCGATTCGAAGCACTGGAACAGAAGTCACCTCGTTATAAAAATAAAATTATAATCTCAGGAACACAGTATCTCCTCACTTGGCATTCATCAACACATGTGTATGTATTGTTGCACTGTCATTGTTGTTTAGCATCTGAATGATTACCCATTTCTTTATTTTATTATTGTTTGTATACTGATGTATTGTTACTTTGTTTGTTGACAGTTTGTTTTAATAAAAATATTTTTATTAAATAACGAGTTTTACACAACTAAATATATGACGTTCTAGAAAGAAAATTAATAAGAAAGTAAGGGTTTATTCCTCCGAATGATGAAAATAATTTTGTATAAAGGCCTAAGGCCTTCTTTCTTCAAGCTACGGTTGCACTTAGGTGCCTCTAATTTCGACTGTTACACATATTCCAAGGAAAATTGTATCGGGCTCAAACTAGCACAGTTGCATAGCTTTGGTGTCACAGATGTACATAAGAAACGGGCACTCCTTATATAAATAACAGAATAATTATTATAATAATGGGGCACACGGTAGCGTAGTTAGTTGAGCCACTATGCTACAAGCCGAAAGGTCGCGGGTTCGAATCCCGATGGGGTGGATTTTTTTTAAATTAACCTAATCCTTCCAGCCGCACTTTGGCCGTGGGGTCGACTCAGCCTCTAACAGACCAGGAATCTTCCTTGGGAGTGAAGGGGGAGAGGCGCGTAAGGCTGACAAACTTACCGCCATCTGTAAGCCGACTGCCTAGAGAAAATGTGGGAGCCTCGACGTCTCGCAACCCTATGGGCCTTCACAGCCTGGTACAGCCATAGCTTTCCCTTACCATTTATATTACAATAATTTAATAGTTATTGTCTAAATAACATATCTTTGTGTTTATCTTATATTTGCGTGTATATGTTTGTTTTGTCTCTTACCTCTTGCTTAGTTAGTTAGTTATTGGAGAGGGTGGGTTTCCCCATGCACTTAGACCTGTCTTGGTCCATTGTGCTTCCCTCTATGATATTCTACCAGTCTCTATATCCTACCGGTACTGGTGCTTACCATCAGTCCCGCCCAGCCAGCGAGACCGGCTCTACTAGCTGAGAGGTATCTATAATGCTTCCCCCATCTACCAGAGGTATTAGAGACTGCTGTTGGGCGGGAAACGTCCGTAATTTGGCTCAGTGACCTCCTTTGGAGATATGAGGTTCTTTTACGTGCCGTAAAGCTACGACACGGGACCCACGGCTTAAAGTCCCTCCCGGAGGACTTGTTCCCTGAATAATTGCATACATATATCAAACATCCATGCCTTGTGTGGGATTCGAACCCACGATCCCGGCTTCTGAGCGAGCGAAGACTGCACATGCATTAGACCGCTCGGCTACCGTGACCGGCAACTGTTCGTATTAAAAAGGTAAAACAAGTAACGTTGTACCTGTGCTTAACTAATTAAGCACTACTCGATGAAGGCGTTGTGGGAGTGGATGTATGGATCCACATTTTCTTGACCTCTGCACTCGTTGGAGGCGAGTGATCAGCTTCACACCCCTGTCGCTTTAACATCGGGGAAAGAGTTCCCTGTACCCATTGGATAGGAGGCTGGGTGGGCACCAGAGCGCGTCTGGACGACGTGGAGAAGAGAAAGTTGTTGACCCTACCGGGGCACGAACTCAAACCTCTCCGTCATCCAGCCCGTAGCCAGTCGCTATACCGACATTCCGGCTCCCAGTTGTTTATATTAATGGATGGTAAACAGTTATACCAGAGAACACTACAGATGTTCTTAATCGAATAAGGTTCTCTTGTTAGCCTTCTTAGAAATGATCAAAGAAATACTTGTAAAGACTAGTACAGACTGGCAGCTAACATTAATATTTATTTTGAGGTACTGGTTCGGCGGTTTCAGAGAACCTCATTGTCTTTATTTTGAAAGCGAAGACGCAGACAACCGGATGCTCTGAAACGTCTGCACACCAAGCCCCACTACTCTGCGTGAGTGAATAAAAAAGCTTTGCAGGATAATATATGACGCTGACTGACACAGCACAGAAAGTAATTTTTAATGCTAGTGGGGTGGGACTAAGTCCCTTGTACTGCGCCCACTTCTGGCATATTGTACTAGCCCCACATGATACGTGAGGGTGATTGTGGAGCAGTTGGTGGAATGAAGATTGGCAGTGGAAACCGAAGTACTCGGAGAAAACATGCCCCAGCGCCACTTTGTCCACCACAAATCCCACTTGACCAGACCCGGGATCGAACTCTGGCCGCCGCGGTGGGCAGTACAGAAAGTGAAGTATAGTGAAATAGCTTATGGGGAGGAGTGAAGTTTGTTCAGTTTCCCAACCAATTTGACTGAAATGCGAAGAGTGAGTTACATAACTTGTGTCATTACATGAGGTAAACAGTCTAGGTTCATTGTCTATGCCTCCTCAGTTCATGGCAAAAAATTCCGGAGAAGAGTAAAACGTTTTACAAGTCATTTGCCTGTTTATTGTCTCACCACATGACGTCCACGCCATTATTTCTCGACTTCATATCACATTTTGCATTATCAGAAGTAGATAACTCAATTCTTCGCGTAGTGTTCCTTTGTTCACAGCATGAACGCCGCAACACAAAAACAGCGCGAGGAAAGTGTGGGCTTACATTCTCGAATACGGCAAGCTATAATAGCATGTAAACATATTGTGACGGAAAATGACCATTTGCTACGCAACGGTTAAGTAAACACTAGTTTTCGTTACAACGGATAACAGCGAAA